GATTCGGTCAAAAAATTCTTTGTAATTCATTTGCACTAAATTTTATAATAAAATGATTGCTAGCTACAATCTATAAACTAAAATATATTTTTAACATTTTTATAAAAATAATGACTTAAAATTGCAAAACTGTTATTAAAATTACAACACTAAGGATTTAGCAAACTGTTATCGTAATAAACAATAAAATCCTCCACCTGGCATTATCGTATTTAATCAATAAAGTTTAAAAATTGTCCAGTCTCTAAGGGAGAGCCAGGATAAATTACACTTCAGCATTGATAAGCGCTATCACTCAAAAATACGATTTATACCGACATTTGTATGCTTTTCCCTTTTTCCCGTCAATTTGTTGTCTCTTTTTCAAACCAAAGCAATTTGAGGGTATATAAAAAGACAGCAGAAAAAGAAACAAGCAGTGCAGACACACTGTCATAAGCTGTCATTAGCTTCCCTCGCTCATTATGGCTTTCAACAGCTACATTCTTCTCTTTTTTGCCCTCGTGGCGGCCCATTTCCGGTGCGGCCTCACCAACAGCCCGTACAGTCATCCGCACTTTGCCGGCAACCGCTCGGTGATTGTTCACCTAATGCAGTGGAAGTTTGTGGACATTGCCGCCGAGTGCGAGCGCTTCCTCGGACCCTTTGGCTACGGAGGCATTCAGCTGAGTCCGGTGAATGAGCACGCGGTGCTCGGCAACCGACCCTGGTACGAACTTTACCAGCCGGTCAGCTACCGAATTATATCGAGAAGCGGAAATGAGGCCGAGTTTAAGGACATGGTGCATCGTTGCAACAAAGCTGGCGTCAGAATCTACGTGGACGCGGTGCTTAACCACATGACCGGAGCGCAGGAAGGTAGGTGGTGATAGTTGTGGTGGTGGTGCTGCTGTTGACATTATCACACATTGGTCAAACGCTAAATAATGGCAGAAAGAGAAGAAATGAGGAAGGAGATGAGCCTCATTTGGTTTGCCTATTGAAAAGCGGCAGGAAATGAGAAACAATTTGTTTTGTTGTTGTTATTGTTATTTACTTGTTTCTTTCCACTCTGCCTGGCAGGCTCTGGAACCGCTGGCTCTCACTACAATGGCAACTCAATGCAGTACCCAGGCGTGCCCTTTGGCCCCAACGACTTCCACGGCCACGAATCGTGTCCCACCAGTGACTTGGAGATCCACAACTACGACAATGCGCAGGAGGCTCGAAACTGCCGTCTCTCTGGACTTCGTGACCTGAAGCAGTCCAGCGAGTACGTGCGCACCAAGCAGGCAGAGTTTCTCAACAAGCTAATTGACGCCGGTGTAGCCGGCTTCCGATTCGACGCCTCGAAGCACATGTGGCCAGGAGATCTGGAGGCCATCTACGGAAAGCTGCACAGCCTCAATACCGCTTACTTTCCCTCAAACAGCAAACCGTTTGTCTACCACGAAGGTACGATCAAGTGTGGTCTATTTTAGTTTGACCATTCCTACCCTCTTCTTCTTCTCACAGTAATTTATTACGGTGGAAATGGCATCAAGTCATCAGAGTACACTCGGCTTGGCCGCGCTATCGAGTTTCACTACTACCGAGAGCTGGCCAACGTGCTTCGACACCATAATCAGCTTAAATGGCTGAAAACATTTGGCCAAAACTGGTCAATGGTTCCGTCTGATGATGCTTTGGTGATGGTAGACAGCCACGATATGCAGCGAGGCCACACAGGCACTTTAGGCCTCAACATCAACTTCTTTGAGCCCAAACTGTTGAAGGTAACTGTTACACACATACACACACACAATTTTTGTCTAAATTGTATTCAATATTTAAAATGGCAACCATTCTAGGTGGCCACTGCTTTCATGCTGGCCTGGCCTTATGGCGTCACCCGAGTGATGAGCAGCTACCACTGGAACCAGAAGATTCAGAACGGCCATGATGTGAACGACTGGATGGGCCCACCTTCTGACTCGCATGGAAACATTCTCAGCGTGAAGCCCAATGCCGATCTTACCTGCAACAAGGAGTGGGTCTGCGAGCACCGCTGGCGTCAGATCTACAACATGGTGGCATTCCGAAACATTGCCGGCTCAGAGCCGGTGACTCACTGGTGGGACAACGGCGATTACGAGATTGCCTTCAGCAGAGGAAACAAGGCCTTTATTGCGCTCAACCTGCAGCCCGGACAAACGCTTCATCGAACACTGCAGACCGGCCTTCCTAAGGGCGAATACTGCGATTTAGTCACTGGAAACTTGAAAGGTAATCACTGTTTGGAGTGTTATTGCTTATTTTAGTAATTTGTTTTTCATACAATTGTAGATGGAAAGTGCACTGGCAAAACCGTTCATGTCGACCAGTCTGGCAATGCTGAAATTACCATCAATTCCAGCTCTGATGATGATTTTGTGGCAATTCACGTGCATGCCAAGCATTAACTTGCTTTTCTAATATAAAGGAAAAATACTGCAGTAATGTGTCGTTTTATATAACACAATGGGTAAATGTACCAAAACTCAAATTTATAAATAAATTTTAAATTTGTTTTAAAATTAGTTCAATTAAAATAGCTTCATTTTTTAATTTTTGCTTTTAGGCACGTTATTAAAAAATAAGAAACTGTCAAACTCTATTGATTTTATTATAAAATAACTTTTTTGTTTCGTATTTACTTTATATAAAAAATAATTAAATATGCAAAAAAATTAACAATGTCAAAATGTAATTTGTTTTAGGCATGCCAAGTTGACGCAACAAAAAAGTATAAGATGTAGCACTTTATTATTTCTTCATATCAAGTTTTTAATAATGGTACACTTTTATTAATAAAAACGAGTACTCTGCTTTCACTCTAGAATTGGGTGTTCTACAAAAGAAAGCTCAGTTCCAGGCCGCCCTAGCTCAAAAACGGCAATCTCATTGTCGCCTGACCTGAGCAGCGGCGCCGGCAGGTACATCGTCTTTGTGGGACCCACATTCCAGTAACGACCCAGATTGAAGCCATTTACAAAGACGTTCCCTTTGGTCCAACCTTCTTGTCCTCTTTCTTGAATCATCTGAAGCCAGGTATCTTTCGGTTGCCCCTGAATCTTTAACGTTGTCCGGTACATTGCCGGAAGGTGAGCTACATCTCCGGTTTGCGCCTTGAAAAGAGTCCACTTTTCTTTAGAGTTCAAGTTGTTTAGAAACTCTGTTTCAAAATCAAGTGAAAAAATGGAAATGTTTCGTTGTGCGGTTCCGTCAAGTTTAATCTCTGTTTGGTTTGAGTTGATAATTCCCTTTCTCTGCTCGTCCATCGTGTCCGAGTCATGAAGGCGGCCCATGTTCTCTACCAGCAGATCATAGCTGTACCAGGCGTCCTCCAGGCGAATTGGATAAGTGACCACCTCTACCAAAAAAGAGGGCCCATCTTCGGTAAAGTTTGCCCGAGTGAACTTATCACCTCGGACCATGAAAACGGCCTGGTCGGCAATCGGCCCTGTCACTTCGTAACTTGCCACCTGCCTTCCAATGGTTCGATAAAGGATAAATCCGAATCTTTGGCCATAATCATCCCCAATGTCCAAAAGCTCCATTGGAACCGGTTTGCTTATGTTTACCCATTTTTTAGTGTGTTTGAGCATTGATTCGAGGGGAAGAAACTCAGTAATGGGAACGTTTCCATAGCTGGCAACTTCCTGGATTTTTGGAAGCTCAGGAAGGCGGAGTTTTGGAAGTCGACCAGTGGAAACTAGTTTCAGGTAAAACTCTCGAATTTTGTGGTATTTAGCAGTGTAATTACCCGATTCAGAAAGTGGAGCGTCGTAGTCGTAGCTGGTCACCACTCGACCGCCGTTCATAAAACCTGCGATTTTAAATGGGCTTTTTTATCAAGTAAAAAATTTCTTAATGTTTTAGTTACCGAAATTAGTTCCGCCAATAAACATGTAAAAATTGATGCTTCCGTTGGCTTTAAAAAGTACATCGCCCACCTCTTTCTCAAAGTGTTCTAAAGTGTACGTGTGATGGTGAGTCTCATTCCAACTGTCAAACCAGCCGGGCCAAAATTCACTCACAAAGGCAGGTTTTCCAGGTTGAACCTTTTTCAGAGTGGTCAAAATTTCTAAACTGTCATCGTTGAAGTTAGCCGTTTCTAGAACTTCTTCACCTTCAGTTTGTCCACTCGTAGAATTGTGAACGAAAATTCCTTTGGTCGGGAGTTGTCGAGCTGCGAATCCTGGATCAGAAGTGAAGAGCAACTCTTTGAATCCTGAATCTCGCGTAATTTGCTGCAGAAAACGGAGATACTCGGCGCTGTGCTCCATCCAAAAAGCTCCAAAATACTCGTTCTCGAGCTGGAGCATGATGACTGGGCCAGTGTTTTCTTTTCCAGTGAATTGGTATTTATTAATGATCTTCATTGCTTGCTCCCAATAAAGTTTTATTCGACGCAGATATCCAGGGTAGGCGGATCGAAGCTTCATTTTTGGATCTCTGAGAAGCCAACTGGGAAATCCTCCAAACTCCCATTCAGCGCAAATATACGGTCCAGGACGGACGATGGCGAACATGTCTGCAGCCTTGATCTCTTCTAAAAATTTTGCAAGGTTCAGATGATCTGAAGTGAAATCAAAATCACCGGGTTTTTCCTCGTGAAGATTCCATGGGAGATAAAGCTGGACGGCGTTTAAGCCGGAGGAGCGCATTCGCGCCAAAGTTTGGCGCCAGTACTGTGGGCGGATGCGAAAGTAGTGCGCAGACCCCCCGTAGATGATGTAAGGGCGGTGGTTTAGGGTGAAATGATCAGAACTGGTGTTTGCCCGAAGACCTTCTTTAACTCCACTTGAAGTGTAGTACTCGTAAAGGGTGGGGTCTAAAGAGGAGGCTCTAGAGATTCTTAAAAGGAAAGTACTAATGAGTAACAGTAAAAGAAAAAACCTCATGATTTTTGTATTTTGAGATGAAAAAATGTTTGAGGTAAAAAGGACTGTTTTTTATAAGTTGCACAGTTTTTCAATTTTATATTTAAAAGCTAAGATATTTTTTTGTTGTTAACGCGGAGTAGGTAATCTAATCACTTTTGTACTAAGATTTTTTAATTTGTAAAAATAATAACATTTTTAATTTTTTTAATTAAAAATGTATTGTTTGTTTTAGCAATAAAATATTTTTTTCATTGTTTTAAAACTATTTTAATTATATTTATTAATTTCAAATGAGTCAGTTAAAATTTTTTGTTGATTAATTGCATGTCAAATAAAATTTTCTTTTATGAAATATTATTAAACTACAGTAGTGCTCAAAATTATTAACAATTTTAAATCAGTTTTTACATTGTCACGTTTCAAAATTAGCTGCTGTTATAGCAAAAAATATGATAATTTTAAAAAAATNACACAGTTTTTCACTTTTATATTTAAAAACTAAGATATTTTTTTGTTGCTAACGCGGAGTAGGTAATCTAATCACTTTTGTACTAAGATTTTTTCAATTTGTAAAAAAATTACCATTTTTAATTTTTTTAATTAAAAATGTATTGTTTGTTTTAGCAATAAAATATTTTTTCTTTGTTTTAAAACTATTTTAATTATATTTATTAATTTCAAATGAGTCAGTTAAAATTTTTTGTTGATTAATTGCATGTCAAATAAAATTTTCTTTTATGAAATATTATTAAACTACAGTAGTGCTCAAAATTATTAACAATTTTAAATCAGTTTTTACATTGTCACGTTTCAAAATTAGCTGCTGTTATAGCAAAAAATATGATAATTTTAAAAAAATTTGCATATTTTTTTATAAACATGAAATAATTAAATGAACATTTATTGTCTAAAGTTTCAAAATTTTGAAAACACAATAACTGAAAATATGTGTATGAAAGTATAAAAATGTTTAATTAGTTTGGATTATAGCAAACAAAATAGATGCGCATGTCTAAAGATTATATAAAAGCAATAGAGAAACGTTTTTTGAATGTGTTCATAAGAGTTGCAGATAAATAGTGTGACAGATTTTGTTTGATTTAGTTTGGGTTCAGACGCAGTTGAAAACGAATCGAAAAAATGATTTACATCAACAATGTTAAAATTGAAAAAATCAATATAAGATAATGTGACTTTGTTAGCATTTCTTGCTCATTTTTAATTTTTACTAAAAACTTTTTACTGTGTCTACAAGATTGTCATTCATAAAACTTTAAAATGTCATTTTCAATTCACAAACATTTAAATTTCAACTATTCATCAGACGGTTTTTTAAAAAATTCTTTTTTACAATCAAATTCTGCAATTTTTCAGCATTTTCATTTGTTTGACTTTTATGCAGTGTTTAGTCAACTGACAGTCGGAGTGCTGGTAAATGTTGCCATCCTCACTAGTGTGGTGGTGCTTACACCAAAGAAGAAAAAGAAAAAAACAACTAAGGAGCTTTATTGCGCAAACTATGCTAAAACGCCCGTTGTAGACCAAATTATTATTTTTTCTGCCATTGTTGCGCTTTTTCGTTTGTTTTGCAAAAGTGCACCAATGTTGGCTTGTTTTTACGGTAATTTCATTTTTTGCATTTTTAGTTTTAAAAAGTTTACATTTTAAAGCTCATTTTATATTTTAATATACACTTTTTACATTAACAGTTGCTTTTATTTCATGTTTGCTTTAAAAGATTTGCATGTTTTGAATAGTTTTAATTTTTACCGCAACTCAAATATCATTAAATTTAACTACACAAGCGTTTGCCACAATTAATTAAGTAAAAGTTAAAACACTGAGTTTTCACTAAAAAACTTATTTTTCTAGTGAACATGTTAACATTCTTAAAAAACAGCAACAATTTTTGCACTTTTTGTCTTTACACACTATAAATATTAAAGTTAATAATAAAAAGTAAATAAACATTTTTTAGAATACAACAAATTAAAAATTTCATAAATTTATAATGAAAGTTAAATGTTGCAAACTTAAAATTATTAATATGGTGAAGTTTGATAAAGTAAATATTTAATTTATTGAACAATAAAGATTTTATTTACCATAAAGTGCATCATAAATTATTTGCTTATTCATTGCTTTTTGTTAAAGGTTCCTGCTTTTTTATGCCGCCATTTTGCTATTTCCACGGTTATTTCAACACAATCATGCGATGCCTTCATCTCTGGGCAATATCTCTGTTTGTGCAAGATCGGTGAGAGAAGGGTGTTACTAAATACAATTCAATAGCTTTTACAAACTTTATCATTTGAGCAGGTACATCGCTCACCTGGACCCTTCCTCATACCTCAGCAAATGCAGCCATTTTGTGCTGTACGTCACACTGACAGGTGTCGCCTTCCTCAGTGCCATGCACTTTGCCGCCCCAATCTACGGTTTTGCTGCCTATCGTTTCCTCGGCGCCGAACTGACCTGTGCCCTTGACCATCACTCCCACTACGCCTGCATTTACGCATTCTATACACTTCTTT